AGGGCCCGGAACTCAAGCTGGCCTTCCACAGAGAAGTGCTGTATGGGGAAACATAATTCAATTAGTTCATGGCCACAATGCTGGAAGATTGACATGAACTGGAGACTATTTATTTGAACAGCATAGGTTACCTTAACAGCCAGGTGATCCTCCCAGTCATTGGTCAGACTCTTGTAGAACTCGCCGTACTCCTCGTTTGTGATATCGTCAGGGTTTCTGGTCCAGATGGGCTTGGTCTTGTTCAGCTCCTCCTGGTCGATGTACTTCTCCTTGATCTTCTTTGTCTTCTTCTTGTCCTTGTCTTTGGAGTCCTCCTCATCGTCTGAGCCCACATCCTCAATCTTTGGCTTGTCCTCACCTTCTTCTTTCTCTTCCTTTTCTGCCTTTTCCTCCTCTGCCTCGTCGTCACTGATCTCCTTGTCACGCTCCTTCTCCACCTTAAATAATAAAATGACTGCAATTAGCTTTACCAGCAGGCAGGCAACACACTTTTAACTAAACCAAAAGGTCAAGCTCATTACTTACAAAGAGGGTGATGGGGTAGCCAATGAACTGAGAGTGCTTCTTGACAATTTCTTTCACCCTCTTCTCCTCAATGTACTCCGTCTGATCCTCTTTCAAGTGCAGGATGATCTTTGTTCCACGGCCCATGGGCTCACCTGTGATCAAAATAATATTGCTATGAGCACACTCTGTTAAGGTACATTTGACCATCTCCAACAGGTGTGAATTCATAGGGGTTTCATACAGTTTATTTAAGATTTAAACAGCCGCTCTCTACTCTTAACTCGTTTAAATTAATCTCAGCACACAACAGCATATGGATTTGCATCATCCCATTATATAGAAAAATTATACATTTTCTCTATACAGCATTAAGTACCATGGCCATGGTTTTATATTACACAAGTCATAATCCTTTCTTAGCTGACTTCCAAACAGGGTTAATTCAACATATATGTTACTGTGTCAAATACTTGGATTCAAAAACAAACATGTCTGGAAACATACCGGTGTCAACCTTGACTGTGAAGGAACCTCCAGCCGAAGACTCCCAGGCGTACTGCTCATCATCATTGTGCTTGGTAATGACAACCACCCTCTCAGCAACAAGGTAGGCAGAGTAGAAACCCACACCAAACTGACCAATCATGGAAATGTCAGCTCCAGCCTAGAGTGAACACAATTGATAATTAATCCTTCAGCAGTTAAAATGGAAAACTGTCAGTAACAGGTTACGCTCCCTTTGATAAGCGTGTGTTCTTCAACTTGTTTTGCAGGTTTGTGTGCTTTTAAAAAGCAATTGTTGTACAATCACAAGTGTGTATGTGGGTTCAACAACTCTAGCAGATAGGCCATCAATGTCAAAAGATTATGATCACATTGAAGTCTTCCTATCCTGTGAAGTGTATTGCGCTTTCATTTTCAAAATGCTGCAATCGAGACCGCGTCTCACTGCTGTACCTGCAGGGCCTCCATGAACGCCTTCGTGCCAGACTTTGCGATGGTACCCAAGTTGTTAATCAGGTCAGCTTTGGTCATGCCAATTCCTGTGTCGATGAGGGTCAAGGTGCGCTCAGCTTTGTTGGGAATGATGTCAATTTTCAGATCCTTGCCATCGTCCAGTTTGGTGGGGTCAGTCAGGCTTTCATAGCGGATTTTATCCAAAGCCTGTTAAAAAAAAAAAAAAAAGGGGAAAATAAGTGGAAATAGGAGGAAAAGGAGTGCAATTATCACCTTTGAATAATTGTTATTACTACTTCTGCTAGCATCATTAGTTACCATTTAATAAAATAACTACACTATACTGAATTTATGTTGTTGTGACTTACATCAGAGGCATTGGAGATCAACTCCCTGAGGAAGATCTCTTTGTTGGAATAGAAGGTGTTAATAATCAGGGACATCAGCTGAGCAATCTCTGCCTGGAAGGCAAAGGTCTCAGCCTCCTCCTCTTGGTGCATTTCTTCAGGCATCTACACAAAAAGAAAAACAAAATTACTTTTAAAACATATAATAAACAAACACATCACACAGGACAGTTGAAATGAAAGCAAAAAATATATACATCAATCAATGTGCCTACTTTAATTGGGTTATTTCAGTTTCGTTTCATGGAAAAAAAAACGGTTATGATAGCTGGATCCAGTCCAAAAGTCGGTTTCGCAAAATTCAACAGCTTCCATCACATCACGGCGGAAGTAGCGTTGAACCAACATGGCGTCGACTGACAGACAATGGACTCCGCAAACACGTGCTTTCAGAACGGCTAATGCCGAACACGCCGATTACGTACAGGAATACGTCACTTTACGTTTAATTGTTGCTAAAACGTTACTTCGCGTAACGTTAAAAAATCGTAATAGTTACGATTATATAAATACAACGCAGACTTAACGAGAAGTAATGAACCGTGGAAGCAGTCGTTGACTTTTTAATTTAGGACAGTACGTGCATGAAATAAAAACCATCGTTATATTATGTTAACTGCTTGGATTTGTTTAATTCAGATGCATAAATTAAACCGATGAACGACACCAAAAAAAAACAAACAAAACAAAAAAAACGTAATTAAAAATAAACCTCGGTGTTAATTGTAAAACAAAAAGGTCTAGTTGTTGGATAAATTCTTGTTAATCCAGTATTTATTCTGCACACGGTTAGCTTCGACAAATAACACCCCAGTCATCCTCACCACACCTGCCTTCATGCAACCAAAGCCCGGCCTAGCAGTGCCGCATACTGCCGCAGTTTAACAACCAAACATTACATTAAAGAAAAACCCAAAAAAACTCGCCATTTAAAGATGTTATCATGATGTGAAATGAAAACACAAAAACAAGAAGTGGCCAAATCTGCATGCTACCACGAGACGGTTACCATGCTACGGGGTTGTCGTGACTCGGGGACTCTCGTCGTGGATACATCCATTCATAACTCACAAGAAAAGGGTCGCTAAAACGAAACGTTAAAAAGGAGAGTGATGTCTCCCACATGTGAGCAAAATACTCGCGTACATACCTTGTTTATTCCGTTGACTTTTCTTGAATAAAATGCAACCAATATATTATCCCTTCTGCTCTCTGACGCAGGGAAATGGAAAGGGACTTCCTTTTAATAGCCCGGATTCTTTATACACACTCGTTGCAGTGTGCGGCTGTATCCATCCGCGGTGCACCATCGACCAGTGTGAGGTTGAAAGACAGGATAGCTTGTTATTCAGGAAAAATACATGCTGTTTCAATAAGCTGATTTTTACAAACAAGTAGTGTTGAAACGACTGTTTAAAATGTAAAATAATTATTGTCATTGATGTCACCTGTCAATACTATTCTTTAAAGGCTTAACTTATAGCAATGTCATATTATAGGTAATAAAATCCCTCAGCCCTGACTGAATGGCAGTCCTTGGTGAAATAATAAATCGCGTCAAACTGTGTTCTTCGTTTCCTTTACAAGAGAAGTGTCATTGTGCTGAGGCTTTAGACTTTAATGCACCTCGAAACACCTGCTTTCAAATATAACCTTGTACCGAAGTACTGCACTATAACAAAGTCAATCATTGAGCCCAGCAGCGAGCCTTTTGCCGCCACCTTGCGGCAGTATTCTTCCATTGTTTTTTTTTTGTACAAAGTACTTTCACACTGATTTTTTGACAACGGACAATGTTTAATAAATAACGCCAGATATTATCGAGACGGCATCATACATCTCTAAAAAGGGATCATGTTCACAGAAAATGTAAGTTATACTGTTCGTTTTGTGCAAAAGAGTAAGGGTCTTTTTAAACTGACGGAGGAATACTTGAAACAAGTAGGGTGTGCTTCGTTTCTTCTAGCACTTTCCATGAAAAACCCGCCTAAAGTGACGTCACGGCTTGTCAGACGCAGCCCTCGCAGCACAGCTGGTGTCACAGAGTATCTACAACAAAAACACCATGGTAACCACCGGCTGTAACGTTCTGGAGCGTAATAATATTTATATCAGATGTGTTTTACCGATACGTGGATCGGCTATGTTTTTTTTTTTTTTTGCCTGGACATAGAGCACAGCAGGAGTAATACAAACTACAACACGCAATATAAAGAGTTGTCATCACACTATTTTAATTTTATAAATTCCTAAAGCTTGGACAGCAACACGCTCACTAATTGAACAGGGGATCGCTTCTTTAAAAAAATAAAAAAATAAAAAAATAATTTGGGTTTCTGTAAAGAGAACAGACAATGGGCTTGAACAGTCAAATCAATAATCAATTTATAGGAAAACAAACAGTTTGCACTTTTATTTTAACTGACGTCTCTTTATTCTCCCGATGCTGTTTGTAAAAATGTGTAACATTGTCCAGTTGTTTATTACACAGACTGCACACATTACGGTTTGTAACACGTTCTTTATTATTATCATTATCAGGCTTAAACATGCGACATTATTGTCATCATTTTTAAGACTCTTAGATAATGTATAACTTATTGTTAGATGTAATAATAATGCTAAATAAGATTTAAAATACTTTTTTTTACCTAATGCAATTGCACTTTATAACGACACCCCTTTAAGTGAGGACAGAAGACATTTAAACTTTTAAACTTTAGCCTGAGCTGCATATATCAAACTGTATTTTGCACACTTGACTGCTTTTTTTTAATAATAATTCTTTATTTCTTATCATATTATGCACTGGCAGAGCTAGTATTTTGTACTGTTATCTATGAGTAACAGCTACTTATGCACATGGACCATCCAGACCACTTTTTTTATCCTGGCTCTGTATTGTGGGCTCATGTTTTTTGTATGGGTGGGATATGTGTGTATAAATATGTTGTGTGTTTATATGTATGCTGGCTGCTGGAACACCTAAATTTCCCTGCTGAGATGAATAAAGTTTATCTTATCTCATCTTATTTATCCTAAAAGTAGCCTTTGAATGCCACAGCTCCGTCCAGCGGACACGTCCCGTCCAACATAACAAGCGCGCCTGTAGTCCAGCACGTAAAGCGCATGCGTCAATGTTTTCGAAGGCCCGTGACGCGACGAACCAGCGTGCTAATCAAACATTCAGGACGTTACAAAGGATTTTATTTTATCTTTACTAACCGTCTAGCAGCGGGTTTTATCACTTTGTACGCCGCCTAATTTGGGGTATGTATATTTGTATATTTTCATGTTCATTCCAAATTTATATTTAGGCAATTAAGAGGAGTTTCTGCTTGTTCCGCAGCTAATGATAGCTTATTTTAAGTTAGCTGTGCCGGGTACGGTAGCGTGCTTAATGCTAGCTTTAGCTAACTAAGCTGCTGTTTTTTTAATGTTCCCTACATGCGTGTTGAGTTAAGAAGCGTGTAGTTTTAACCTACAATATAATATATAACTTCAGTATTAACACTTTAACCTGGGGGGCTTTATTGTACAAGGTTAACGAATGTACCTCATTATCCCCCTTAACTTCTAGTAGTGTTTAAGATGAATAACAAGTCAAGGATACATGAACAATTAGATAATATCGACAGAATAAAATATAATATAATATAATTACTTTATTGATCCCAAACTGGGACATTGTGGCGTTACAGCAGCAGGTTGTCCAACACACAATATGAGTAAAAAACACAATATTGGCAAGTTTAAACACAATATAATATTAAATACAAAGTAAATAAGTACTAAAAATATCAAAACTAAGACTGTGAATATATACAATCAGGATTTAACTTAGCATTACTAGACTTAAATAGGAAGATTAAATGTAAATGTGCAAAAACAGTGGACAGTATTGACACAGGGAGCTGTGCAATCAGTGATGCTATAAGTTAAAGTGCAGGAGTGTTGACATGTTATCAGCAGAAACTACGGTGGCTGATAAGTGCAAAGCACAATTACAAATGTGAGACAAATTTACATTTTGAAAAACCTTTTTTACATTTTCAGAAAACAAAATTACAAAACCAAAAAACACTTGTACCAAGAAAAAAAAAACACAGTTACATTTTATATAACAAATTTACAAGATGTGAAACACTTTTACAATCCCCAAACAAATTTACAAAAGACAGAAATCCTGACAAAATGGGAATGTACCAAATGTCAGAAGTGATCGAGTGAGGGGTCATGTTTTGTTTTATTTTGTCACGGTATATTCCCTTTCCGTCAAGATTTCTGTCGTTTGTAAATTAGTTTGGGGGACTGGTAAAAAGTGTTCTGCCTCTTGTAAATTTGTCTCAGCGATTGTAAAAGTGTTTCACATCTTGTAATTTTGTTTTGTCCTCGGTAAGTGTTTTTGGTTTTGTAACTTTGTTTCATAAAATGTTTTTCAAAATGTAAATTTGTCTCACATTTTGTAAAACTGTTTAACACTTTGTAATTTTGCTTTGCACTTCCCAGCCACCGTAAGAAACTATTCAATATAACGGCGAGTAGACAGACAAGTGAAGTGAACATGAGTGCAGGGATCATTTGTAAACATGTGCAGAACAGGTTACAGTAAAGGAGAGACTGATATTATCATGATGACAGTGAGGTGTACAGAGTTATGACAGCATGTTCTTAACATTATTTCATTGAAAATCAGCTATTACTTGCGTACGTTTAGCCCACTATTCCTTCCATAAAATGAGAGTCAAATACATCTCCCACAGATAGACTGCTAATAGATGTCCCTGTTTCTTCATCAGGTCGGTTCAGTTATCACCCAGAATGTCCTTCCCCCCTCACCTAAATCGGCCGCTTTTGCCACCTCCTGGGATACCTCCACAGTATGCAGGTTTCCCCTCAGGTAAGCAACCTCCCGTCTCTAGGTAAATGAGTTTAATACACTGTTTTTAGAAGTGACTATGTCAGTCTTCCCTACGGAGGAATCGAGGATTTACAGTTATAAAGCCAATAATGTAAAGTAAAATGTTTGCGATCTGACTGCATTGTCTCTTTATTGATGTACATTTTTTTTTGGGCGGATTTAGGGACTCCGATGATCCCAGTTCACGTGGGCATCATGACCTCTACCCCAACAGTTATGTTGCCCTCTGTGACAGTGGTCAGTAAGCCTCCAGTCCATAAGAAGGATATTGCTCTTCTGCGAGCCAAAGACAACGATGAGAGCAGTGGACCCACCACCACAGTGTTTGTGGGGAACATATCAGAGAAAGCTTCAGACATGCTGATCAGACAGCTGCTTGCGGTGAGTGTCAAATCTATAATCTTAATGTTTGATTTCCAAAAGATGTTTTATCCTTCATATCTTATGAAGCATCACTAATCGATGAAGAACATCACTCAGTATACAATGATGCCACATATGTACTTCCCATTACATTTAGCTTAAAATTGTGTTGGCAACTTGCTAAAAATGAGAATCCTTTGCTTTTTGAGTTAAGTCATGACATTCTCCAGCCTTTATGTTTATGTCCTAGAAATGTGGGATCGTTCTGAGTTGGAAGAGGGTCCAAGGAGCCTCTGGCAAGCTTCAAGGTACTTCTTCTTACACACTGTTTAGTACGAATTTTCATGAATTCATACATTCTGGTAACTTTGTGGATGAACCATTTAAATCTGTCTACCATCGAAGAGTAATTCTTCTCTTCGGTTGAAGCTGTAACCATATCTATGTAAAACATCTCATAGCAGCAGAGTTATATTTGGTTTGGAGCCAACTGTCTGTTGTAAGCAAAAGTTTGCTAAGAATGAAATGTATATGTCTGACATTTATAAGTCAAGCTGATGTTTCTTTCTTGCCTTGTAGAGATGTATCAAAGTAGCCAAGAATTTATAGGACGTACCTTCTAGCAGAATATAAGCAAGTCTGTTAACAACTTTGTCAGTTTGTGATTGTTAACAATTTGTGTTCTGTTGTAACTGTCTGACCTCGGCCGATTAAACCGGAGAATAATCACAGTCTGTTTGGCGATTTCATCATTTAGTTTATACAGCAGCAACAACCCCCACTTAACACACACATTAAGCATCATTAGGTCAGGAAATACTTCAATAGAAAACTTGTGTGATGAGCCCTTTATCAACAAGATTGTTTCACTTAAAAATTTAAATGGTACCCTTTTAAGGCACATATGATGTTGAATCTGCACTCATGTCTTTTTCCGTTTCATTATCTGTTGCAGCCTTTGGGTTCTGTGAGTACAAGGAGCCAGAGTCCACATTGCGAGCCCTGCGGCTGCTTCATGACCTGCAGATTGGAGACAAAAATCTTTTAGTGAAGGTGGATGCCAAAACTAAGGCTCAGCTGGACGAGTGGAAGGCCAAGAAGAAGACTGCCAATGGGGTAAAATAAGAGTTTAAGCTAATGAGTTTCCGCCCAGTCTGATAGTTATCTCTTGCGATGACTTAATTTGTCATTTAGAGTCATCACTAAAATTAAAGATTTTTTTTTTTTTTAAATCTACATCGGCAGAATAAGAAGGCAGAGGATGGAGGTGATGAGGAGGAGGAGGTGCTGGACGAAGAAACAAAGAAGAAGGATCAGATAGTGAAAGGTGCTATAGATGGACTCATGAGGGAATATGCCGCTGAACTCAATGCACCTTCAACAGACGAGGACTCTCAGCGAAGAAAGAGAAAAAAGGAGAAAAAAGAGGAGGTATGGCAGCCTTCATTTACTTCACACTTACTTTGAATGTTTGCGTCCTGCAGTTAAAAATGTAGATTCCTAATTCGACTGTCTCATTGATGTTTTTTTTTCCTCTTTAGGATGACATCAACACGATTGACATGGAGGAGGACAAGAGAGACCTGATCTCCAGAGAGATTAGTAAATTTCGAGACACTCACAAGGTAAAGTAGCTCTTTTGATCTTGTAGTTGACATTACAGGTTTTGGACAGCAGCTGTTTATATTGATCACTCCTAGTGCTTGCACATTTAGTCTACACATTTACCAAGCCTTTCTTGCTCTCAGTAATATTCATAATGTGCTACAAATTGGCAGTCCTTAAATTTACACCAACAAACATCTGAATTCGCCCCTTATTTTATGAAATGTTTCATTTTGAATGTTCAAGCATCACAAGTAGGCAGACGGCTAGAACTTTTGTCACCTTTCTCAGGCCTGATTGACACCTTTGACCACCATAGTGAAACTACTTAGGTGTAAATATTATACATCCATTCTTCATTCATCACACAAAAATGCATGGAGACGATGTAAAGTTACTTAAAAGCTAATCTATTCATTAAACCCCACCATTATGATAGTGATCATATGGTGACTAAAGCAAGATGAATCTCAGAGCTTTGGAAAAAGTAACGAGGATAGGATGTAAGTATCAGCCTTCATTTACTTAATACATATACTGGGCGCCCCCCTCTTGAGGGCTTGCATAGGGGCAACTGTACTGCACCTTTCTGTGTGTTGGCTCAGGCTCATGATGCTCCACCAGGCCAACAAAAAACTAGAAGTCCCTTCGTGCCCCTTTACCCTCATTTTGTCACATTATGGTGGTGTCCTGAAAGCTTGAGAGTCAGTGAACCTGTGCGAGTCCTCTGTAAATGATGCTCTGTCTTAATGGTGTTCATGTTGAGGCACAAGGACTCTGTCAATAACCACTGCAGTGACTTTGGCTGTAGCTTTTTATGATGCTAGCTCAGGGGGGCGCCCTCTCCACAGCAGCATGCTGATCTGAAGACTGACGAGGTAAGTGCCCTCTGTGTGTGTTGTGTGTATACTATCTTCCATCTGTGTCTTTCCCTCTCTGCCTTTTTTTTTTCTTCTTTTCTGAAAGATAGATCAGTGAGTGTCTGTTTACAGAATGAAAATAAAGCGGGAAAAATGTCCTCACTCACTGGTAGTATAAGACAAGGTGAAATTCTCTCAAAACTAACTTCTGAAACCAGGTCAAATAAACAGGCTGCAATCTATGGTGTTAAAAAAAGAAGCAAATGTGGAAATGCAGTTCCTTGAGTGTCTGTTTGAGGATGTCTCTAGTGGACCAGGGAGACACATACACATCCTATTCAAAAATGCCTGTTTTTACATCAGAAATGAACATTACGTACTTTAAGTTGACTGAAATTAGGCTGCTACAGCATTTCCAGCATGGCGTCACCAACTAGTGACATCACTCAGGCTTTGTTCGCAGCAAACAAATAGAAAAACAGAAGGAATCAGAACTTCGCAATCACAAGATGCTTGATCAGAATGAAATACTCAGAGGTAATATAGCGGTACACTTTCCCCTTACATCTATTTCTTTAGAAAACAATAATTATACAAACTAAAAATAAACGTGCAATACAATTGATAAAGTAGTACACACATTGATGTACAACATTTGAACCTCTGATTGACCGTGATAAGCCAAAAGTTGATAATCTGCATCGGTCCAGTTGGTATTGACCAGCACTGGTAGACACTCTACACAGGTAAGTAAGAAAGAATCAAAACGGATGAAAAAGTAAAACATCAGGTTTTATGCTCGACTAAAAGAACATTGGTTTCAATGAACTTAGTTAATTTAGATCTTAAACCTCAGCCAACATCTTCCAACTTTCTCATGTCATAGGTTCCCTTCTCTTGAGCTGCATTACACCCCAGGCTTTCTATCCAGCCATAGTGTCCCACTGAAAATAGCCTGACCTTCTGAGGCTACATCACTTTGTGAGAGTTAAACGATTAACATCAAAATGTATTCCACTTGCTGCCAAAGCTTCACTACTATTAAACACAGAACTTTTAAGCTTTTTTTTTGTTGCTACAGTAATGTGAATACCGAATGCTACATTTAAATGAAAGCCTTGTGTGTAATGCCTTTAAAGGTAGAGTATGAAAGTGTGTGTGTGAGTCTGAAAGAGTCATGAAGAGCTGCTGAAGACTTCCGCAGGGGTAAGACCGCTTCTACAATTTCAATTCTCTGTGCAGAAATGTAACTGATGTTAATAATGTCCATTTCTTGTTTTAGCACTGTACCAAATGTTACCTGTTTAAATAAAGGCTGTTGTTTTAATGATGATGATAATGATGTTGCTGAAGCAAGACAGAATCCCATAACGTTTTTCCCTTGTATACGTGTGACCTGCTTTCCTCCCAGGCCTAACTTAAAAGGCTTGTAGGGGCAGCGAAGGGCTGAGTCCGTAGTTCAACACCTGTAAGTCACAAACAACTAGTTCAACAACAGACTGACGCCTGTTTTCTGTTTTTGTTTTCCTTGTTCTGAGAAGAGGGCTCCTAAGGAGAGAAAAAGCATTGTCTTTTGCAGCGCCTTTTCTCGTTATGAATGCCTCAAGTTGAACATGTTTCACAGATCGCATTTACCATTAAAAGTGGTTTCCAGTTACATTTTCGCTAATTTGTAGATTATACTGTCAGTTACTAAATGAAGAAGCTGTCTCTCGTGAGGGAGAGCCTTCTGATCCTTTGCCAAGTGAGCATTCTAGCTTTTCCCACGAGCTTTGCATTGATAAGAGTAGGGCATGTTCCTTTATGAAACCCCCCTTTTTTGTTTTTCAAAGTCTGGAAACCACTTGATCTGTGCACGGTACAAAATTGCCTGCAAAGACTCCCCGGATCTTGCACGCCATTGGCTGAACTCGTCTTGTGTTTTGCTCTGCAGAAACTAGAAGAAGAGAAGGACAAGCGAGAGAAGGAGCGGCTGGAGTTTGAGAAAGACAGGAGGGATCGCGAAAAGGAGCGAGAGCGGGAAAGAGAGCGGCGGGACCGCGAGAGGGAGAAGGAACGGGAGCGGGAACGGGAGAAGGAAAGAGAGCGAGAACGGGACAGAGACAGAGACAAAGACCGCGACCGAAGGCCCAGAGAGAGGGAGCGAGACCGAGACTGGGAGAGAGACAGAAGCCGTGACAGGAGTCCTGACCGCAGCAGATCCAGGTGAAGACATTACACTTGTTTGTACTTCACAATGTAAATGGTTAAAGGGATACTTCACCTGTTGAAACATGAATGTGTATTGACATTGGGTCATATATGTAGTAGAAATGGGAAATACATTCTGAAGTTGGTGCCTTCTTGGCTGAGAAAAGGCAGAAAGTGTCTTTTTGGCTCGTGGATGAAAGACACCAAATCCCAGAATGCACAGCACCACTTTATTAATCCCAGAGGGAAATTTGATTGTTACAGTTTCTCCAAAATATACAATATAGCAGTAGAAATATAGTAATAAAAACATTTACAGACATATTCAACACATAAGACCATTTCCTCAACTGATTCAGAGATTTCTTCCAGAATTGGTCTTGGAAATTCCTGGCAGAAAACAGACTCTATGGTTGCTGCTGACAGGCGGCCAGCGGCACAAGACCGGCCTGTCAGCAGCAGCCGTCTTGCTGCTATATTTATATTTTTTCGCCATTATCAGCTTTCTTCATAGAGCCTGTTAGCATAGCTTTCAAGCAATATGGCGGACATTAAGTTTTGATTCTGGGCGTGAGTTCCCACCCACTGATCTGTGATTGGTCTGTAGCTTCAGTGGTCGAAAATATGAGGATAGCGTTGTAGTTTCACCCCGCAACAGCTTCCAGTGACGCAAAATTTGTTATTTTGCATCACTGGAAGCTCCTTTTCAGACTTGAAAATACAAAGATTTCCCATCTCGGGAAAATGATGGCGGGATGCACGACCATTAAAAAATACTACCAGGTTTCTAATGATAAAAAGCTTAATGCAAATGGGTGAAGTATCCCTTTAAACCTCCCCACAGCTTTTGTGCATACTTAGACTTTGTTTGATTGACATATTTCAAAGTTAACATTTGATTTGTGTTGTTTACATTAAGAGACATGAATAATACCGGTACTTAATTCTTACCTCCTTTCTTTTTTTTTTTTCAGGGAGGTGAGTCGAGACCGAGATCGAGAAAAGAAACGAGACCAAGAGGATGAAGAGGAGGCGTATGAACGCAGGAAGCTGGAGAGGAAACTCAGAGACAAAGAAGCAGCCTATCAGGAGGTATGAAAGGCTGGGAGGTCACTTGGGCTGATACTACTCTCATTTAGTGCATAATGTTCTCCCTTCTCATTTATGTGAATATCCAAACTCAGAGTAATGTACAACATGTGCTCACTGCTCTTATTCTCCGTCTCTTCACGTTGACCCTTAAACATTATTTGAGACCCCCAGGATAAAATATCAGATACATTGCAGGTTATGCCCAAATGATACAAGGCTGCACTCTTTGAACTTTACATGTCTGTGTCTCTACCAACTCTTATGTGAATAAAAATATTCCCTTTTTCATTTTTTTTTTTTTGCTGATTCATGATTGTTTTTGATTGTGGCTTAACGGACACTATTATAACTACAGCGTCTAAAAAACTGGGAGCTCAGGGAGAGGAAGAAGGCGCGAGATTACAGCAAGGAGTCTGAGAGGGATGATGAGCGTCGACGTGAAATGGTGAGCGCAAAATGAAAACACCCTGGTGGTTAGAAGGGCTCCCCATTTTCCCTCATGTAGAGCCAAAATTGTACAATTGTTTTAAACTAATGTAAAATATTTCATTATTTGCTCTAAATTATAAGTGTTTATTTGGGATTCATCTGATGCTGTTTAATTAGGCAGATGATAACATTTGTTGGCAGATCTTGATTGATTTTACCCGGTCTTGTGTGTCTTCAGGTTAAAGAGGGCAAGCGGCTAAAAGAATTTCTTGAAGACTACGACGATGAAAGAGATGACCCCAAATACTACAGGTGAGCAAGAGCAGAAAAAATGTTAAAGTGCTGTCTTTACTGGGCCAGGAAGATGGATTGAAAAATATAAACATTAGATCAAATTAAATGAATGTAAAAAGGACCTGCACTTTAAATAATGAATTTTTGTGCTGCATGTCTCATCTGAGCCTTGAGGCACCTGCACATGTTTTAATTGGTAGAAAGACGCAGCACATGCTGTGACCCAGATCTGACGTGTGTAGCAGCAAGTGCAGCACTGCTGCTATGGCTATTGTTCTGAAGGCTGTAATTTCTGGTGTGACCCCTAGGGGCAGTGCGCTGCAGAAGCGTCTCAGAGACAGAGAGAAGGAGATGGAGGCGGACGAGCGTGACAGGAAGAGAGAGAAGGAGGAGCTGGAGGAGATCAGACAGAGGCTGCTAGACGAGGGACATCCAAACCCAGACGCAGAGCTACGCAGGGTAAGCTTCTATAAGATCATAATAATGTGTTGGTGTGTCTGCATGTGTGTAGTGAGTGAACATGCCGTGTGTTGTCTTTGTGAAGGTCACTTTATCATCTGAATCTCTCTGCATCTCTGCACATCTGTGTTGTCCAGTTTTCACCGTCTGCTGACCTTCCTGTCTGTAAAACACAGTGACTGGGTGCTAATCTTCTTCATTTCTGCTTCTAATTGGTGCAGATGGAGGAGGAAGAGGAGGAGCGTCTGAGACAACCTCCCATCATCCAAGAGCCTGAGCCTGTTGTGGAACGGGAACGCCACAGGAGTTCAAGAGACCACAGAGACCGCAGACAAGACCACCAGGACAGAGTAGAGGCCCGATCACGGCCTGCCCCCTCTGACGATGAGGTGGAGGAGGGCGAGGATGATGATTATGACAACGATGAAGATAACCCTGATGTGAAACCTTGCTTGAAGCCCACAATGAGGCCCATCACAGCAGCGCCCTCGGTGTCATCGGCCAGTGGCAACGCATCCCCGAACACACCCGGTGAAGAGTCCCCCTGCGGCATCATCATCCCCCATGAGAACTCACCCCCTGAGGCGCTGCCGCAGGAGGAGCACCGGCCGAAGATCGGCCTCAGTCTCAAACTGGGTGAGTATTAAAGAAAGTGTGAACAAGGGAAAAAAATATTTTAGATGTATTTCTGTGGGTATACGCAAAAAAAAAACCCAAAAAACCTTTTTTCTTAATTTAAGAATTCAGGATTCAGACAAGAAGTTTACATTTCTCAACTCTTGTAGCCTACATAGACCATAATGCACCGCTTACACATCTGTTGTCAGCAGTTTGTGTGATACATCATCCAAAGTCCTTTCATCCAACTTAAAAAATAATAAATCATTTTTTGTTGTGATTGTTCTATCCAATTAAATGAAAGCAGCACAAAGACAAGTTCTTGATGACTTGGTGAACTGTTACTGCAGAGCAGCTGGTTACAGGGTTCACCAAAATCGACACAAACCTTAAATTACTCACAGTAGCTTAAAGTCTACTTAATCTTCTATTAATCATTTTTTACGTTATCTAAACTGCAAAATTCTCCTGGAAATACATCCTTTTTGTCGGCTTTATTCACTGCAGAATGGGTTATTCTATCAACATAAATTAATTGGAAAACTGTACTCATGATCGTCTGCAGGTGCCACAGGAAGCCCCAGTCAGCCCAACACGGGTAAGAGGAAGAAGCTGCCCGTGGACAGCGTCTTTGACAAGTTTGATGACGAGGAGACTGATGAGCAGCCTCGCAAGAGGAAGCTGGTGCCCCTTGATTACGACGACGACAAAAGCCTCGGGGTGGACGGAGCTGGTCTCTCCAGCATAAAGGGGGCTAACACCGAGGAAAAACGTAAACACATCAAGACTCTGATAGAAAAGATTCCCACAGGAAAGCCTGAGCTGTTCTCCTACCCCCTGGACTGGACCATGGTAGACACGGTGAGGAGACGAGGAAGGATGTGTTCTGTCTTTCTGGACTTGACCTCTGTATCTGTAGAAACTAACACCATTCATGTTAACTAAACTAAACTAAAGGAGAGAGTATTTGATGAAGCCTCATCTGTAGCAGGAGAGGAAATGTCTTGCAGGTATTTTGCACATCTTCTACAAAACATGTGTTGTCTTTTTTTTTTTTTTTTAGTTGTTAATGGAGCGACGTGTTCGGCCCTGGATCAATAAAAAGATTATTGAGTACATCGGAGAGGAGGAGGCAACGTTAGTGGACTTTGTCTGCACCAAGGTAAAGATTGTGTGTGTGTGTCTGCACATGAAACATTTTCCAGACTGTGAGAGGAAGTGACACATGAGATGAATGTAATATTTGTGTGTTTCCCAGGTGATGGCTCACAGCATGCCACAGAGTATTTTGGATGATGTTGCCATGGTGAGTAGTGTACTGGAAAAATAAGCCTCTAACATTATCTTGTGCCTCCATTATTTTTTTCATAATATCCATGTTGATGCTGTGGCATTAGTATCTCGTCAAATGTAGCATTTTAGAAATAATGGCTGAAAGTCCTGAATGGATTTTTATCACAACCATCAGTCTGCAAAAATGTTGTCATAGTTTGTGATCCACTTTGAGATGGGGCTAGATACTGGATGTAGCTGGTTTAAAACATAGATGTATGATTAGCATCAGAATTTTATTTGCAGCATTTTGCAAAAATAAATAGCTTTATTGTTTTGTTGATAAAATTAGTGAAAAGAAATGTTTGTATTATGTAAATACTGTTTGTCTTCAAATTAGATACAAACTAGAGATGGCTGCTTCTGACTTAACTCTGTATCTTTCTGTTATAGCTCATGGATTCTCTACATGTGAATCTTTATAAACCTCTCTCCTCCTCCTGTTTTAGGTTCTTGATGAAGAAGCTGAAGTCTTCATAGTGAAGATGTGGAGGTTACTCATTTATGAAACTGAAGCCAAGAAGATTGGACTGGTGAAATAAGCAAAAACACCTTATTATGAAGATACTTTTTTTTTTTTTTTCTGGAGCATTATGTAAAATAGTGTAGCACAGTTATGTCATCCCACACGACAGAATAACATCAGACCCTGATCATTCTCATACTCGCACCAGTTGTCCAGGTCATGATGTCCATTTTTTTCTCCTCAACATACTCAGGCTACGTTCACCTCCGCTCTGTTTGTAGGTGCTGACAGTGTCTGTGCGTTTGTGTAAATACAGTACATCATTATCTGAATATGATGAAATAATTCTGAGGTAACTGCTGACAGACACCATGGACCATTGTTGTGTTGCAGGATAAGGTGTCGTGGTCCTATATTGACTTTGTATACATGCCATCACACTTATAAGGAACGCTTGTCTGCAGGATCAGGTCACTTTTAGAGTCTCTGAAGTGTGGAATCTGGCCTGTAGTTAAATGTTTATTAAGTGAACGCACACTTTAGAGTATGCAAAACAAGGATGTGATGTTTTACAGGGTTATTTATTCAGGGTTTTGAACACAACTCCTAATTTCTGTCCAGTGAACAGATTTTCCCTGTCTTCATTTTTCTGCATCACATTCCTGATGACCGTGTCAGCATGCTCTCTTCTTGCCAACACCGTTTTCAAAGAAGCACCTTGTTGTCATTTTAAATGTGATTAGACCCTCAGAATATCTTGGGTGGCGGTCAAAGCACACACACACACACATCATAACCACTATAAGAAAAATGAGCTCAGAACATGAAAGAGGACTTTGAAGCAGTAAAGATGCTCTCCATTTGTTTTTGTATTGGTGAACATTTGAATAAAAATGATTTTTATAGCTTTGTGTACTGTTTATTGACTCAAACTCTCCCATAGTCAAGTTGAATTGAAGCAAAACATACTTTAACCCTGTTAGATGGCACAGTATGTATTGGTACCCTTGTCAAGAAAGGCTTAGTTGTAACAAACCAATTATTAGTGGCTACAAAAGTGTGATCAAGCTTAAACATTTTGCAGCACATTCATTAGTTTACTAGCAAGCGTGTGATAGGTATTCAACCAGTTTACAAATCAATGTCCTTCAGTTATAGCTGCTTAAGTTTTGTTTTTATTAGTCAGTACTGCCTCATGAAGTTTTTTCTTGCCACATGTTGCTAAGTTCTCATGATGGGCTAACATTGGGTGTTTTTAACCTGCTTGTTTGAGATATTAAATGAATAGTAAGGTCTTTATATCTGCTTTTTGTAATCATCAACTGTCACTATGGACTACCGGTAAATGTTTTGCTTCTGAAACAAAAAGGTTTCTATTGATTTGAAGGTTAATGCATTTGTTTAAAAAAGATTATGTTAACCTTGCAAACAAACTAGTCACACTCAAATAATAACTATAAACTACTGTATCATTTCCAGTACATGAAGGAACAATAGTGAGATATTACTAGATAATATTATTAGACATTTTAAAGCACGGTTTCTTGTTTTTTCCATTTAAGAGATTTAATATCTATTTAATACATTTTCCCTGTTCTGTTATTTATTCCCCTCACTCGTATTAAGTTTAACACATTCAACTTTCTTACTGAGTTACGAATTTAGAGAACTTTGTATTTGTTGCAGAAGAAAGCAGCAAGGAAAAGAAAAGCGATCCTTGAAAACAACCCTGGTTCTGGTTCCATTTCGTACAACGTACTCACAGCAGCCGACAAAGACGCTTTGAGATCAAAACTTCCAGAACTTTATTGATGCCATGTGAGATAAACAGCAGCAGGTCTTGCCAGTAAAACTCCTTCAACTGGAAGAGAAAACAGCACATGAAGTCACTGCTGAGCGGTGTAGAGACAGACGAGCTGATGCGTTTCCTCGTTGGAGACTGAGGACACTGAGCTCTAAAGCAAGAGGTAAGAGAAGGCCACTGCTTGGAAACTGCTTGGATTTTATTCAAATTTAAAAATAGAAACTACTTCGGTGTTTGTTTGTAATTTAGCTTTCTTTGTGTCCATGTCTGGATAAGAGGACAGCTGTTAGTGTCACCCGCCTTTGAAACAAACTTTGCTACTGAACAAACCGGGACGTTTGCCAATGAACGATTCACGTCTGTTAATGTTTGCAATGTGAAAGATAACATCTGTTGGACCACTGTGGTCAGTTGTGTCCACATTTCTCCTTTGATGGTTTGGTTTTTTTTCCTCTCCCCACCAGCCTTTCCTATGAGGAGCGACTCTAGTCCTCCGCTTTGGCCTCCATCTCCTCGTCGTCATCGTCTCCATCGACCTCGGCGTTCTCCCGCTCTAGCCTCTCCAGCTGCCGGGCGAGCTCTGTCTCATCCGTGTCCGTCACCACCTTAGGCTAAAAAAAACAAGAAGTAGAGAGAATTGTTCACATCCTGATGAAAACTCAAATCATTTTAGAGTCAGGAAGAAAGGTAAATCTGATACAAGTGAATTATTAAGCTAGCAGTGTTGTTAGGTCCAAGTACCGTAAGTGCTATTATAAACTGATAAAGTCGTGCTTGAGATTTGACCTACAAAATAAAAACTTTTTTTCCACAACATGATTTTCACTCAGTAGTTCAAATATTTTCAAATCATTTCTGTGAAACGTTGTAGCAGTGAACAGGCGACATTATTTGAGTTTCAGTTTTCATTAATAGAAGGGTGAGGACAAAGTGTCCCCGTAACCATAGTAACTCATTCGCACCTGCCTGCCCAACACACTGAATGGGAGGAGAAAGCTGCTGAATTCAGATTGTTTATTGTCCCACAAGGGGAAATTTGTTTTGCAGCAGGAGCACACAAGAGGACAAGAAACACAAGGACAACATCATCGGCACCGAGAAGCAGATGAAGATGTTTTATGAAGTCGCCCAAACCAAACTCCTGTTTTAAAAAGTTTTACTCGGGGCGCGCTGGTGGCGCAGTGGTAGGGCGCGCGTCCCATGTATTGAGACTCTCGCCTGAGCGGTAGGCCCGGGTTCGCTTCCACCCGTGGCCCCTTCCCCGCTCTCTCTCCCTGGTTTCCGACTCTATCCACTGTCCTCTCTCTGGATTAAAAAGGCACGAAAAAAGCCCAAAATAAATCTTTAGAAAAAAAAAAATAAAGTTTTACTCATGTGAGAAGGCTGGACTTTAACAATTGTTTGTTTTGTAATGTTTGTGTCTTATATCTTCCTGTCCAGGGACCACGGACGTAAATTAGCTTTATAGCTAACTCTGCTCTAACACTCATGTTGTGCATGGCCCCTGCCAATTAAAAAACATTAAACAGGGGCACCAAGCGGTGAGTGCGTGCATCCCATGTACGGAGGCATAGGCCTCAGAGCGGGAGGGGGGGGGGGCTCGGGTTCCTTTCCCGCATGTCATTCCTCACTCTCTCACCCAGGTTTTCAACTTTATCCACTTTCAGCAAACAACCAACTGCATAAAACGATTTACACAACGGCATTAAAGGGTTCATATTTGGGGGAGCTGGTTTAGCTGGTAGAGTTGGTAAAGCAGACGCCCCATGTACAGAGACTGAGACACTGGACACAGGTCAGATACAGGACAAATCGTCCACTAGTTTCTAAAGATGGTGATTATCCATAAATAAAAGAATAAGCAAAAAAGAGTCGTCAAATATATCGAAAAATCCAGAATTCCCAAAAATATGCAGAATCGCGTCTCAAAAAAACCTTAAGAACTTAATAACAGTATTTATTAAAATACCCTCACCACTCCCTTTAGAGCTTTTGGTTTTGTAGAATGTAACACCATTTTTTTTTTAAACTTGAAGATATTGTTAATATAAGAAACACACAACATACAAAATAATCCAAGGTCACTCACCTCCATCTGGATGTTGAAGACGCCTCGTTTCTCCTCCTCAATCTTCTCCTTGATCGCAGCCATGGCCTGATTGAGGACAGACAGGCCCTCTGTGCGCTCCAGCGTGGTCGTCGTCATCACGTAGCGAGGGGGAGCGATCAGGTTGATCTGGGAAAAAGAACACAGCTGATTTACAACCCATCCCAGTTTGATTGACGTACAGGTCTGACAACCTAAAACCAACAGGTTACTTATTATAATAATAACTTTATTTTTATAGCACCTTTTACAAACACAGGTTTACAAAGTGCTTTGAGAAACAGCAAAAACAAGAACAAGAACAAAGCAAACCAAACACAGAAGAACATAAACAACAGCAAGAACATAACAGATGGAAAAACAAAAAAATAAGTAAATACAATTCAACAGAAAAGAACCCGAAGTGCACGATACCCAACAGACATATACAGTGGGTACGGAAAGTATTCAGACCCCTTTACATTTTTCACTGTTTCATTGCAGCCATTTGCTAAAATCAAAAAAGTTCATTTTATTTCTCATTAATGTTCACTCAGCACCCCATCTTGACAGAAAAAAAACAGAAATGTAGAATTTTTTGCAAATTTATTAAAAAAGAAAAACTGAAATATCACATGGTCATAAGTATTCAGACCCTTGCTCAGTATTGAGTAGAAGCACCCTTTTGAGCTAGTACAGCCATGAGTCTTCTTGGGAATGATGCAACAAGTTTTTCACACCTGGATTTGGGGATCCTCCGCCATTCTTCCTTGCAGATCCTCTCCAGTTCTGTCAGGTTGGATGATGAACGTTGGTGGACAGCCATTTTCAGGTCTCTCCAGAGATGCTCAATTGGGTTTAGGTCAGGGCTCTGGCTGGGCCAGTCAAGAATGGTCACAGAATTGTTCCGAAGCCACTCCTTTGTTATTTTAGCTGTGTGCTTAGGGTCATTGTCTTGTTGGAAGGTGAACCTTCGGCCCAGTCTGAGGTCTGAGCACTCTGGAAGAGGTTTTCTTCCAGGATATCTCTGTACTTGGCCGCATTCATCTTTCCTTCAATTGCAACCAGTCATCCTGTCCCTGCAGCTAAAACACCCCATAGCATGATGCTGCACCACCATGTTTCACTGTTGGGATTGTATTGGGCAGGTGATGAGCAGTGCCTGGTTTTCTCCACACATACCGCTTAGAATAAAGCCAAAAAGTTCAATCTTGGTCTCATCAGACCAGAGAATCTTCTTCTCATAGTCTGGGAGTCTTCATGTGTTTTTTGGCAAACTCT